GGGGGGGGGAGCTGCAGGGAGGCTCCTGGTGTTTATCAATCCGAAGCACTGTCTGTGTTATTTCCCCCCTCTTCGATAAAAACGGCGGCAGAAAAGCCCAGCCCAGCTCTTCCTGCAGGTAAAAGCACCTGTGAAAGGAGCAGGAGCCCCTGAGGTGCAGCAGGAGCAGCTGGAGCCTGGGGAGACCCCTCTGGGTGTGGAAGTTTCTTCCAGCCTTTCCCTGCTGGTGCCCCCTGGCAGCAAAACACGGAGTCTGGGGGGGCAACCAGGGCCAGGGTCTCAACACCCTCCCAGGGAAGAGTTTCTTCCTCATCTCTCACCCAAAGAGCTTCTTCCAAGAGCAGTTAAACACATTTTCAGTCACAGCTTGAACACCACAGGCAATAAGCACAACTTGAAGAAGAGCTATAATTCAAATGTTTAATGAACTCCCACCTTCCAAATAGAAGGAAAACTCGTAAAAGAGACAAACATATGAACAAACACATGAAAATGTTTTTTTAAACTCAACATATTTTGCAGAGATACAAAAGTCTGGATGTGCTTACAGAAGGGATAGATCAGTTCAACAGCTCAGCCTACAGAACATACAGCAGATGTACAAACCAACCCAGACAGCACCAAGATGTTACTGACACCACCTGAGTCCCAAGAGCTCAGTCTCCTCACTACAATCCTAACACAAGACAAACCAGGACACTGCTCCAGAGCCAAGAGGCAGACTGGATTGGACAAAGACTCCCAATATCAGAAGAAACTTGGAGCTGGAGGGATGGGACAACAGCTCAGACTCTGCTGCCCCACAACATCCACAGCCAAGCACAGGGATCTTTGTGACAAAAGCCTTTCTGACCTTGGCCACCTGGTTAATTATGACAGGTTATCTGGTTATCCAGAAGCAGGACTGTACTGTCTGTGGAAACTGTCAGAAACCCAAGGTGAATGCTGTGCAGTGCTGAAGTAACGACAGTAACTCCTGTTAATTTAGAAAATACATAATTGTTTTATACAAGAGCTCTGTAAATCACCCCAGCACAAAACCAACATGCTGTCTGGAGAACAACCACACCAGGAAAGACTATACAAGGAGGCCTAAGCCTCAGGTGACTGAAAGATAGAAGGCAAACTAGACAGGTAAAGGATTTAAGAAATTCCTCCTTCTCCTCAGAGGCCTCTGCTGTTATGAAAACTTGAGGCCCACACCAAGCATCCTGGATATCAACCAGCCCTTGCCCAAGACTCCTGAACTAACAGCACCCCCATGCTGGTGAGGAGCAGCTTGAACTCTGAGGAGACTAAAACCAGGGAATATCCAGCCTGACTTGAGTCCTGTGTGTGGATCCAGTGAATCATTTGGGAGGCTGGAGCAGGTGCTGGTGGATCAGGCTGACTGCTCTCCGCAGGTAGTGGTGGCCAGGGGGCACCTCGCTGAGAACAGCAGAGATCTCCTCCTCCCTGGGAAAGATAAAACCATCAGATGTGCTGGGGAGGACACAGGCCACTGAATTCCCCATCCCTGGCTCTCCAACTGACCCCGTTTGGAGTGGTTCTTTCTGTGCAACTCACCCAATATTGCCAATTTTCTTGTGGACAGTGAAGGGCGGGGAATCAGCCGGGTAGTTGGCTGACAGGGACAGGGTCAGCTCAAACTTTGCAAAGGCTGCCAAAGAAGAGAACAGAAGCTTCACTCTGCATGGGAAAGAAACAAACCAAAAATCAACACAAAGCACTCAAAAGAACTGCTGCTGCCTTTGAGTTGGGGGCCAGAGGTGAAAACAAGGGATGTGAGTGAGGCGACAACTCTGTAACTTCTGAGGACTTCCAGCAGAACCCATAAGCTCATAAATAAGGTTTAAAACCTTCCCACTCCAACAGCTAGAGTACAAAACCCCAGCTTGCCTCACAGAAAAAGTTAACACACACACACAGAATTCACAGAACCTCTCAAAAATGATGGGAGAATATAGATTAATAATGAAAAAGTATGTTTTCTAGTTAACATCAAATATTCCTAGGGAGCTTAAGTTCTCTGAAGTTTTAAGTAGGAGTGTTTTACCTCCAATCCCATAGTTCTGTTTCCATACACCAGGTCATTCCCAGGTAAACCTCCAACAATTTGCAGCTTCCTGTGCACAGGCTGCCCCTGCATCTGTTTGGTGGCTGAACTAGACATTGTGTGGGATTTCTGGCCTTGCAAAGAGGACTGAAGAATTGGAATAACCCAAGGGAGGAGCATCACAGCAGGCAGGGCAGGAGTAACTGGGAATATCCCTGTTCAGGATACACATCCATGAGGGAGGACAAGGGGAAGGAGGATTTCTTATGTTCCACTGGGACATGCCACAGAGACAGGAAGTAGGATGGGAAAATGAAAACTAAAACCCAGCAACTTTAGTTTAAGTTTATTCCTCCTTCAACAACTGATTCTGCTAATAGCAAACAGAAGATTCATTAGAAAATGAAGAAAGTAACAAAGCACTGAGCTGCAGGTAAACTCCTGGCTCTGCTTCCTTTACACTCTGGCCTCAAGTTTGAAGTAAGAGTCAAGTCAGACAGGGAAGAAGTGAGCAAGGAGAGGTTACATGAGAGTGAGGAAATGGCTGAATTCAAGGACAGCTTCATTTCCATGCATGTGGAAATTACAGTGCAATTGCATTAAGATACATTAGGCCATTATTAAAAATAGTGGCATTAAATCTCAATTTCAAGGAAACCAAATGTACAGTATTTCAGTTTTGGTTCTGATTCTCTGAAGGACAAACTCCAGCTGAAGTTACTCACTTTGTGTCACGGATGTCTGTCTTCAGAAGATTGAATTTTCCACCCCATCTCTCCAGAAACTCAATCTCCTTTCCTAAGACCTTGCAGTGACCCACCACCAGGGAGATGTCCTGAAGAACCTAAGTGGGCAATCAGGAAAGCAAGCACATTGGCACTTGGGCTAGCAAACTGCCTGGCACCTGAACAAGCAGTTTGTGCCAAAAAAGTATATATATTAAAGTGAAAATGAAATTGTTCAAACATGACAAATAAATACATTCTGTGCCCCAAGCTTCTCCCTTCAGCTTTCCCAGCAGGAACACTGACATGCAGGAACACCAGGTTGGGCAGTTCAGGCCATTAATTGTTTAGAACCACAAGGACATTCAGCTCAAATCTCTAATTTCTACTAGTAGGGGGAAAAAAAAAAAAGGATGTTAAGAAGCCACCAGGCCAGGCAGACATTAATGCAGCAAACAAGGGAGAAACCACAGCTTTCAGGACTCTTGCCTTCAGGGACAGGTACTTCCCCTCACACCTCAGAATATTTCTTGAAGCAGATTTTGATTTGCACTGATGAAACGTTCACTAAGATGCTTTGGTTGTCAGTGTCAGCCCTATTCTCTGTGCCAGAAGAGAGTTACTGTTTTTCCAGAGCCTTACAGGCTATCCTGGAATGTTACCTGGGGCAAGTGGGACAGTGTGGGACACTTCTCCTGCCAGCACCCCTGACTTTCAATGAACTGGAAGATGAGTCTCTTGACTAAACATGAAGAAGGTGGAGCCTCTTCCTCTGTAACACAAAAGAAAAACATGTTGCCAGGGATCTTTTCAAAGCCAGACAGTGGGATTAGCAGATAAACCAGGAATTGACTGGTGTTTTGCCAAGCACAGATTATCAGAGCAGTGACTTTCAAGCTACTGAAAAATAATCTTACCATCCAGGAGAGATTCAAAGCTCAGGCTCGCTATCTTCCTGGAAGGATCTGCACCAAGTTCATCACCATCTGTGAAGGGAAAAAACCCACACAGTGGTGATTTTCATACTCAGTTCTGGAGCTGCAGCTCTTCCTCTTCAGAAACAGCCACGCATTACATACTTTCTGAATTTTCCTAGAAACCCACTGATAAAAACATTCAAAGCCACTTCTCTCAGCTTACAGGGTCCTGCTGTGGCATGTTTTCTATTTCCTGTTAGCAGGTCTTCACAAGTAGAGAGACCTCAGGTTTCTGTTCTGTGAACTATTTAACCTGTACAATTCATCAAACAGAAACCCACCCCATTTTGTGACTTACCTATTGGGGGTCCAAACACCACTGTGAGTTCAAGAGCATCATAAAGAAAACCAAAGATTGCCTGCTGCTGGCTCCATTCTGTCAGGTCCCACTCCAGGAAGCTAGAAAGGGGGGGAAAAACAAACACCATCACCCCAAGGGTCAACCAACCAACCACCAAAGTGCCTGAGGACAAAGCTCAGAGCATCATGTGCACTTGCAGCTACTTAGCACCTCGTGTACCTACAGGATTTCCAATTTCCAACAAAATGTAAGAGTCTGTTGGGAACACAAGCAGAACACTGCATGAATGTTCACCTTGGTGCTGGAGGAGAGCTGGATACAGCCTGAATGCAAAGGGTCACTGCAAAGCTGTTAATAGGAAACCAGTGCATCTCATAGGGAAGTTCAGGGTGGCCTTATTGCCCATCCTAGGCTGTGAGAAGACTGGATTTCCCAAGTCAAGCAAGGCAAAAACCCAAACCATTTTTGTATCATTGTGAAGCCCCAGAACTAGCTGATAAACCTGAAGGTCTTTCCCTTACTCATATTTCTCCAGCTGTTCCTCGTAGCTCTTCAGTTTTTCCTTCTGCAGGTTTATCTGCTCAAGCACCTGCTCATTCTCAGCCTCCAGATCTGACACCTCTCTGCAAAGACAAACCAACCACGTGAGATCTAACACACTGGTTAGAGAAACACCAACCCTCTGTACCTGAAGGTGCACATGTTATTTCAGGTTTTCAGATCCCCTCTGCCCTCTTACTTTTGAAGTTTCTCTTCTTGGGCTCTGAGGCTTTCCAATTCTATGAGAAAGGGAAAAAAGGTGAGAGAGAAAAGCAAACCAAGCCCTAACTTGCTCTTAACAACAGGAAAGATCTCAACTTGAAGGGACATCTGGATACAGATATGCAGTCAAAGGTAATTATTGAACAATTAAAGTGCTCAATATGCCAGCACACACTCTCCAAGTGACACTGCACCAAGTTCTAAACCCCTTTTTTCCAGGGAAAGCAGTCCTTCTTGTATTAAAACATCTCTGTAATTAGCTCTGTCCCATGTGGAAAAGAAAGCAGTAGAGTTTGCATCCATATCAGAATAAATAAACCAAGGAGGAGGTTGAGTATCACCCTCTCCAGAATTTAAGCAACAAAACAAGAAGTGCCATCTGGCTGGTCCCATTACCTTCTTTTCGGTTTTTCCCTTCTGCCATTTCACCACTGCTGTCTGCTTCCCATTCTTCCCTGTCAGAATCTATGGGAGAGAAGTATCAGGTCTCTGCAGAACTCCCATTCAGTCCTTAGATCCCATTTGATTTCCCAGTGGGTTCTATACATCTTAGCATTTCAAAGTTAACTAAGAAAAATGTACAAGAAGCCAGAAGGGTATCTACCAAAAACCTCAAAAAGGAACAGACAAAAGGGAAAACTCCTTCCATTGCATTATGTCAATGCTGGTGCTGTGAAATTTGGTTTCTACTTAAGGCACTGGAAGAAAATTCAGTTGGAAGAACTGAAAACACACAGAGCACTGTCCTGCAGCAATGCCAAGTACTGGCTGCAGCTTCTGAACCACCCAGCCCTGATGCTGAGAGCAGGACAGTCCTGGAGTGCAGAGCTTCATCTGCAGGATTGCTGCCAGGTTTGGAGACACATACCTGCTTTCAGGGCACCTAAGCAGCTCTCTGCCTCCTTCACCAATTCATCCAGCTTCTTCATCCTTGACTGCAGCTTTTCATATTGTTCCTAAGAAGGGAACATTGTGCTCAAGTCAACAACATTTTGAAAAAGCTGAATTGTCTTCTGGGGCCACCATGTGGATCTTTGCATGTTGAGAAACTAATTAAAGCAGCTGGTACCATCTCTCATCAGAATGAAGAGGCAGGCTGGCAAACACCAAGGCAGCAGCCATGCCTAAGAGAGCACTAGTACTTAACAGTGTATCTTCCTAATGACTTTACTTATGAAGGGATAAGACTTGGGAATAAATACATTCCCAGAGCTTTTAACACATCCACATTTCTGATACCCACCACAATGCATCACTTCTGCATTTGTTAACTCCTAATCCTGACATCACTACAGCAGAAACAAGTCATTTCTGGTGGCTTTTCCTTGCACACTCCCATTTCTCACCATTCATTTAATAGTCAAAACCCTTAGGCAGAAGGTCCCTCCAGTGTAAGGGCCAGAAGGGGACTGTCCCAACGTGGTTTACATTTGCATATAAATAAAAGGGAAGCACATTAAGGAAGAAGGAGACTTCCCAGAGCTTGCACACTCACATACAGTTATCAGGCCTCTAAGCTTGGCAAAGACAGACAAAACATGGCAGAAGCTGCTGGTTTGAGAGGCAGTCCCTGGCATGGTACCTGGGCACTCTGCAGCAGCCTGCTGTACAGTGTGGCCTTCTCCTCGTGAGCCAAGATTTTACTCTCCTTGATGAAGCAGGATTTCATTTTGTTCAGTTCTGCTCCAAAGTTCTTCAGCTGCAATGAGGGGAAAATACAGAAGAGAAAGTGAATGGGAACATGCAATTAAAGATTGTTCAGTTGCCCCCTCAGGCCCTTCTCTGCTCCTCCCAATATCCCCTTGGTCTAGGACCTGTACTATGTGACACTTGCAAATGAAATCCAGTTTAGAACTGGACAATCTCTGGCAATTCAGGTGCAGTTGCTGACTGAAGTAACTGACTTTCTTTGCCAACATCCAGCAAGATCTTTACTCAGCTGGGGAGCTGCACAGGTATCTGAAGAGATGCTTTTACCAAAACCCAGAGCACCTGCTGTGAGTACCTCTCCTGTCCCTCCCCCAGAGGTTTGGCTTGCCCTCTCAAGTTTCTCTTCCCTTTTCTCAAGTAACCTGAATTAACAACTTGAATTAACAACTTGAATTATCAAAGTTTCTCTTTCATAGCAACATATTCCCTTGAATGTATTTTAAAGGGCACGAATCTTTGAATCCTCCTGACACTTTGGAAGTTCTCAGAGCAGTTTTCCATTCAGAAAATATTTTGCCTTGTATCACCCACCTGCCTGCTGTTACTCTGGGACCACTCTGGTTCTTATTTTACTTGCATACACTAATTAACCTTACTTCTTCATTCTGTATAAACATTATCCCTTCATGCAGTATTACCTCTTCATCAGAGCAGGTTCTCATCACTTCCCAGAAGCTCCTGTTCACATTCACCAGGAGTTGATCCTGCATATCTGCATATGGTTTTAACCTGAAATATGAAAAAAGAAGTTCAAAGTCCTGTTGGGATTGCACAAGCAGGTAAAGCAGCATGTTGGTATTTACACAGTTCATTCCCTTTTTCTAATTCAAAAAATAAAATGTAAGTATTTTCATTTAGCTGGGTCAGACCCTCTAAACCTTGATAGAATGGGGGTTCTTTGCTGAACTCTAGCACATGATGCCAAGTTCATTTCCTAGGTGGAATTTTCCAGGGCTGACAAGGAGGTGGGGAGCTACAGAGCCAAAGTGGTGCTAATGAGGCTGGAAAAATCTTACTACCCATTTTGAATTTTATCATAAAACTTGATTTTGCATGTAAATGCAAAAAAGTTCAACTCTTCTGATGTAGAACTGAAATACTCTGTTAGTAAAAGGTAAATTACTTGAGGAAAATGAAACTTTAATTCTCTCTATAGCCCCTTCCCAAGAGTTAGCCCTGTACTGGCTAACTCTGTAACTAACTGGCTGCCAGCATCAAGTAGGTTAACTATCTATTTTTATTGTCCCCATTTGTGATGTATTAACTCTCTTCAGGCCCCGTTGCAACCAGAGCAGGGGAATGAAGTTACTACTGTGTCCTGTGACTGAAAAACCCACTCACTCTTCTATCTTCTGAGCAAGGGCCTGGCAGTCTTCTTCATAAATGCGCAGCTTGGGGCGGTACACGTAGTGGCTGTACAGGAGGTCTAGTGGGGTGGGGGCTGCACTGGCTGCACTCTGGGGAAACACAGAGGGAAAAGTGGTGAGGAGAAAGAGAAGTGTGTTTTTCAGAAGCAGTAACAGGTGCAGAAAGCAGGAGAAGGCCTGGCAGCTCGATTTTTGCAGAAGAGGATTCTTGCCCTGGCCTTCTGCAGGCTGACAACACGAGGTCTGCAGGCACAGCCTGTGCTCCCAATGAGATAAAATATTAATTATGATGAAAAAAACCCCAAACAACAAGAAAAAAACCCACCAAACATGAAAAAACCCACAAGAATATAACTGAAGGTCAATGCCATGATGCAGAGCAAAGGGCACTCACCATGACTGGAACGTGGCTGTGCCGGGGCTTCTGAATGGGGACATGGACTTCCAGGAGTGTGAAGAATTCCCTGACTGTGATCACACCATCCTGAAGTTTCTGGGAGGAGGCAAAACACACAGCTAAGTACATTGCTGAGGCCAGAAGGCTGGCTGGGGTACATGCAGGCAGGTGTTTCAGGAGAAGCCCCATACCTCCCGCAGGGTGTCCTCGCACATGCTGTCTGTGAGCAGCTGGGACTCCAGCTGGCTGCTCGGCTGGGCTAGCAGGGAGGAAAAAGGGGGGATAGTGCTGGGTTAATAATATTGTCATGGAAATATCAACTTAAGCTGATTAGCTCTAGATAAAAAAGCAGTTTTAATGTAGAGTTTGTCCCTTATGGGTGTTCCCAGTGCTGAATGAAGACAACAATTAACTGGGACAAGCACAGAGGACCAGAGTGAGGATCTAATGCAAAATGAAACCAGTGTCTGCACAGTCATGGAATGACAGAATTCACCTTTTATGGGAGGAAAGGCACAGGTGAGGGACTAAAAAGCAGTAAAACTGAGGAAGAGACTCCAGCCAGTCCACAGAGGGTATCCTATGCAGAGAGAGACTGAGCTCTGGAGGTAAAACCACAATATCCCAGTTCTGAGCCAACCCAGGCAGGTTTCTCAGGCAAAGGGAAGAGCCCAACTACTGGAGAAGGTAAATCCTTCTCTGGCTGCAGGTGCCCAAAGGTAGAACTGGCTTTGTAAACAGAGAAAGGATGCTGCTCACCAGATGACTGGCAGATTTCTGCCTCATTGTTAGGTATCAGCTGATTAGCAAGAGCTAATTAAACCTAGGGGCTGAATCTGCACAGAGCTCTGTCCCAGCAGAGCACTCTGAGGAGATTTTTTTTCCCCACACAATTTGAGACCATTCCCACAAAGTCTTACTTGTTAGTTTGGTGTCAGCCTTCAGAGAATCCAGAGAGCTGCTGGTGCTGGCATGAGTAGAGTCAGCGCTTTTAGCTGAGACATCTGGGAGATCTTCACCTCCAGGAACTTCAACTTGGCTTTGAGACACTGCCCCAGAAGTCACCTAATAATGGCAAGTTAAAAAAAAAAAAAAAAGCTATATGAAGCAACACAAGAGGAAGGGGAGTTCATTGTAGATGTTTCCTGACAGTCAGAATTGTTTCATTTTACTTTCAACACATTTTATATCTCATCAGCAGGACAAGCCAGCACATCCTTCATTTATCTCTCAGCCACCACAGCTCTCCCTTCCAGCTCTTGGAGCTAAAAACTTTCTACTGCTGATTTACAGACTCATTTTTAATGTGAGATGAAGGCTCCATATTTGCAAATATTTTCTTGATTCAGCTGCAACTTGTGCTGTCTATAAAAAAAGCTAATTTAATCAAACATCCATGTTTGGATTTTAAATAATTGCTCCAGGCCTTACTCTATCAGTGTACCTAGACAACAACTAGCAAATGGTTCAGTTCAGAGGACTAAGAGTGTTTAGTTAAGAAAGGATTAAAAGGATACTATGGGGAGAATGATCTTCCACCCCCAAATTCCAGCAGAAGTGCTGTTAGTGTTCACTGTGTCCTTCTAATGAATGAATAGGCTCACCTGCAAGTCTTGGGAGGCCTCACCATCCAAAGTTTCATCCCTCTTGGGCTTCTTTGGACTTTGAAGATCCTCTTCATCCTCTTCCAAAGCTCTTTTTGTGTTGCTGTAAGGTTTTGTCTCTTCTAATAGATTGTTTCCATTGTGGGAGATCTGGGGTTTCCCTATCTCATTGCCAGCATTTTCCACGAGTTCCATGCTTACAGACTCATTTGAGTCCATTTCATCCAGGCAGACAGGAAGGAATTCTTCTGCTATGAACTGTGAAGGGCTGAAGTTCTGCCTGCCAGGCTTGTGGCCACCTAGGATTTCACCAGCATGTGCCCTTACTTCTGAAACTGGTGCTCCCTCTTTGTCTGAAGACTGTGCATTTGTGTCTTGCGCACTAGAAACAGGAGGATTTCTTCTGCTTGGTAATTTAGGCTGGAAGAAATGTAGAGGGATGTTTATTCCTTGATATTTATCCTTAGTTGCTATGCCTAAATTTGCACCTATGGGAACAGCTCCAGGCTCAAGACATGTGTTCTCCTGGTCTTTGCTAGAAGGGAAATAAGTTGGTTCATTTACAGTATTTTTTCCTAACCTCAAGGCATCCTCTGGCTCAGCTGGTGGTTTGGGCAACTGGTCAGACAAAGCAGTTTCAGAAACTGAGAACACTGCAGATTTCCTCCTCATATTTTTCAGTTTGGAACAAATTTTTAATATCGCAGATTCTTCAGGTGAAAGAGCAGGATCTATTTGATCTCTTGGATTGTCACTGACCCCAAGTTGTTTAGTTTGTTCAGAGTTCATGTGAAAGCCTTTTGGAGGTGCCTCCCCTTCCACTGTTAGCCCCTCGTTTTCCTTTGATTCCATGTTGGGAGCTGGAACAAGGTTTGCTCCAGCCAAGCTGAAATCTGCAGCTAGATCTTCGTGTCTAGATGGTCCATCTTTCAATCCCTGGTTTCTCCAAGCATCACGTGCATCTGGAGAACCCATCAGAGAACCTGGCTGCTGGATGGGAAGCAAGACATGGGACACCAAATCACCCCTTTCTTCACTGCAATCCATGGGCCTGTTTCTTGGAAGCTTGAAAGATGCACTCTCTGCTCTCAGGTTTTCTGGAGGTAGGAGATCCTGCTGACTGTTCAGAGGGACAGAGTGAGCCCTGGGAAGGGCAGGATCCTGTGGTGCCTGCACATCCCTAGTCTCTTCTGGAGGTGAGACAGAACACATGGAATCTGGTGGTGTGTCACTGGGGTCTTGGGTAGCTCCTTTCCCTCTGTCCTTTCCCAGTGCTGTGGCTGAGGGAGCAGAGGGAGGGATGCTGGGCTTATCCATAGGCTTTGCAGGACACTCACCATTCAGGTCTTGTGTGTGTGTGGAATCAGTCTCAGGTCTGCAAGATGACAGTGATGCGCCACGCACGCCTGGCTGCTGAGTGCCCTGACATGACACTTGTTGGTTCTCCAATCCATTGAAATTGTCATTAACAGCAACTGTGTGAGATGCAGTGATTTCCATGTCATCGTGGCTGGAGGTGAACACAAGGGTTTTATCAGCAGGGAGGGGCTGTCTGTCCTGCACAGGGATTGCACACCTGGATGCAGCTGTCTGAGCTGTAGTCATCTCCATGTCCTCAGCCACAGTAAAAATGACAGTTTTGTTTCCTGGAACAGCCTCCTGGCCAACCTGCTGACCCAGGTTGAACCTCTCCTCACACAAGGCTCTTTCAGTCCTTTCAGTAGAGTCAAACTGGGTAATTTCCATGTCAGCCTGGAAGCTCGTGAACCTGATGGTGTCTGTGAGAGGAGCAGAGCAGTGGGGCTGCCTGAGGAAGGGGCTGTCTGTCCTGGACAGGGATTGCACACCTGGATGCAGCTGTCTGAGCTGTAGTCATCTCCATGTCCTCAGCCACAGTAAAAATGACAGTTTTGTTTCCTGGAACAGCCTCCTGGCCAACCTGCTGACCCAGGTTGAACCTCTCCTCACACAAGGCTCTTTCAGTCCTTTCAGTAGAGTCAAACTGGGTAATTTCCATGTCAGCCTGGAAGCTCGTGAACCTGATGGTGTCTGTGAGAGGAGCAGAGCAGTGGGGCTGCCTGCCCTGCAGAGACCTTCCCTCCAAAGCTGCAGCCTGGGGTCTGGTGAGCTCCATCTCATCCAGAGCCAACGTAGTAGTGTTGCCATCTGCAGGTGCTCCCCATCCAGCCTCCTGAGCCAAGTTTGGTTTAGCATCACATACAACTTTTGTGGCAGTTCTGTCAGCAGAGCAGGGCCTGGTGGTGTCTGTGTCAGCCTGGCTGCTTGTGATCATAACAGTTCTGAGGGGATGAGCTGAAGAGCCAGCGTGAGGTCCTCCCTCCTTTTGTAAGACAATTCCATGGCCAATGGCAGCTGTGTGGCTCTCTGTGATCTCCATGTCGTTGTTCTCATCACTCAGTGAAAATAAAACAGTCTTTTCTCCCTTCAAACTCTTCCTCCCAGTCCTTTCAGCCATGCCAAGCATCCTGTGGGATGCAGCCTTTGCCAGAGACTTAGCAGTTGCAACAGTGTCGAGTCTAGTTATTTCCATGTCATCATTGAAGGTAAAAATACAAGTTTTATCTCCAGAAATTAAGGATGTGTCATCATTTGAGCTTTTACACGGCAAAATTGTTTTGTTCTCAGCTGAAACTGTGTGACTTCTGGTGATGTCCATATCAGCATCTTCTGAAAATATGGTTGTTTTCTCACCTGCAAAAGGCAGATGAGTTAAACCAGTCCTGGTTAACATTTTCTGGCCAGATACTAAGGAGCGCATGTGGCACTCAGCCTGTTTCTGACTAGTTATTGTGATCCCTTTTTTTAAGGACATTATTGTATTTTCATCTTGAACAAGGTGCCCAGGTGCTGCTTTTCTTTCAGATAAAGCAGTGCTGATGTGATCAGGAACCATCACAGCACAGTTTCCAGTCAAGTCCATGTTTTCACCAGAGGGAAACACAATTGACTTTTCTGAATACAAAGGCAACTGGGAACTTCTCTTCTGTGCTTCAGACCTTTGGGCTGGTAAGGGCTCCCCAGCAGCCCTCCAGTGCAGGCCACCAAGAGAGGGAGGGTTTGTGGCATCCTCTTCTGAAGAACCTGCTTTACCCATGAAAAGATCTCTCTCAGAACCCACTCGATGTGGCAAGACTTTGCTTACTACCTTCATAGCATGTGTCTTCTCCTGCCTGTCTGAGTTTTGGCAGCCTGCATTTATTCCTAACATTGTTCCAGGTTGTTTATTGCCATTCACACCAGAGGGAGCAGGCTTATTACTGGCAATGAATGGGCCATTTGAAGCCAAAGGATGAACAGTTTGCTCAGTTGTGCTCATTTTCAAATCCCCACATTCTGTTGCTGCAGTCTGACTTGTGATACCTACACCAGCAAACTGGAAGGTCTGGTGTGGCAGCTGCTTGGATGTGACAGCATTTTGATTATAATTATTCTTGTCGTCTTGTACTGTATGAATAGCAGCAACATCAGAGGGAGCAGAATGAGTTGTGGTTATATCCGTATTTTGATCACCTGGAAACATGCCCATTTTGTCATTTGTGCAGGAAACTGAAGCATTTTGGGTTCTCTCTTTATAGTTCTCCATAACCAGCCTTTTTCTACTGTTCCTGTCAACAATGGTCACCTCAAGGTTTTCCTTCTCCATATCTAAAGGATTTGTGCCTTCCCTGATGTTTGTGTTCTGGTTCATTCCTGGAATTAGCTTACAAAGCATTTGTTTTGCTTCTGCAGTTCTCCCCTTGCTTTGGTCATCAATTAAGAGCTGATTAGGTGCTCTCTTTAAGGCAGAATTATCTGTGGATGGAAAATCCTTTTTCAAGTTCAGGCTTTGATTCCCAACGCTGGAGAAGGGAAAAGACATCTTTACAGTGTGGCTGGTTGTCATATCCATCCCATCATCCCCAAACGCCTGAGTGACATCTGCACACAGCAACGGCTCTGCTGGCCCTTCCCAGGCCCCAGCCAAGGCAGCTCCCTGGCACTGGGTCATTTCCATTCCATCCTCTTGCTCCCTGAAGACTTTTGTGACATTGCAGGTGTCCAGAGGCTCGTGGGAATATGCAGATCCCACCTCTGCTGGTGCCGTGTCTGCCGAGGCTTGGGAGGGCACAAAGAAAACATTCTCTTTCTCAGGCCCCTTGGCAGGGTGAGGTGCTGGTTTGTTCGACTTCAAGCTCATAAGAAATTGATTGAAATCTATTTTTTTTACATCAGTAGCATCTTCCTTCTGCTCAAGAGATGGACACGAGTGGTTTGTAGGGTCAGAGAAAAAACGAAACCCTTGACTGTCTTGTGCCTTCTGGCTGGGCTTTAACCCAGCCAGGAAGGACCTGATGTCTATTTTCTCTGTGGAGTCAGCTTGGCTGCTCTTCAGGTTCTGCTCAGGAGATGGACACGACTGGTTTGTAGGGTCAGAGAAAAAACGAAACCCTTGACTGTCTTGTGCCTTCTGGCTGGGCTTTAACCCAGCCAGGAAGGACCTGATGTCTATTTTCTCTGTGGGGTCAGCTTGGCTGCTCTTCAGGTTCCCAGCAATCACTGCCGTGTGACTCACTGTCATATCCATCTCATTTCCTTCTGAAAAGAGGAGGGTGGTGTCCTGCCTGTTTGCTCTTTGAACAGCCTTGTCTGCCTCCTGCCACTAAGAAGAAAAAGTGAGGAAGAAGTTCCAGTCAGAAACACTTCCCAGCAATGACACTTAAAACAAAAGGCAGCTAATGCAGCCCTAAGGTTCTGGCTCTACCTTTACATCTTTTTTTCAGAAAACAAAATAGAATTCTTGATCCCAGCCCTGGATAAGCAATAACACCTTTGAGGGAAGGACAATGACTTAGTGATTAGACTTCATTATTAAATTATCATCTTTGAATGGCTTTTTTTTAAAGAATGTGTCTCAGTTTTACTGTTGGGCAAGACTTCATTCCTAGCCATACCCTGGTAAGCATGGAACAGTGACTGACTCCTATGGACCAGTATTCCCTGTACCTCTCACTGACTCCTATGGACCAGTATTCCCTGTACCTCTCACTGACTCCTATGGATCAGTATTCCCTGTACCTCTCACTGACTCCTGTGGATCAGTATTCCCTGGATTTAATTTTAAAGCTCTGGGAAAAAAATGCTGACCAACAACAAGATATAATCCTATATTTTTATAAAATATAATGAATATATTGATTAAGAACAGCTCTGTGTTTACTTCATATATGCTATTTTATAAATGCAAGAATTAAAATACACTAGAAGCAGCACAACCATATACAATATCCAAAAATCTGACCTTTCCACCCCCATGGTATCCATCTTCTAATCCACACTGGATTTTAACTGTTTCCCTTTGTCTTTAACACTCATTAACAAGAGCTAACACATGTCTTTAAGCCACGTCTTTAAACTCAGCATAAAAGCCAGAAACCATTGCAGCAAGGGAGACTGTTATGATAACTAACACTACAGTGCCAGAACATCAGCTCTCAAGCACAACACACTCCAGGATTTCTGTGCCTGGGAAGGTCTTAGCTAAGAATTTTGTGTTTTATCACTTGATTGAACTGAATAAATTCAGTTACTTTTCATGCTAATCATTGCAATGTGTCTAAAGCTTTTGAACAGCAGGAGCAGTGTCCATGTGTGCACAGCCTTTCTACCCCAGGAGGAAAAAGCACACAAGCAGAGAGTGAAACACAAGGAACAAAACCCAAACATCACCAGACCTCCCTGAATCACAAGCTGCTCTGCATAATCTCAGACAGAATTGAAATTGGAGGAACTAGCCCAGGTACTGGAAAGTTAGCAAGCAATTCAAGTAGCAAGAGGTATCAACACTGCAGTGCCCAGCATTTTAGGAAAATACTTCCAAATATAGAAGATTGGCTTCCAGGGGAATGTTATGTGAACACAAGGATTTGGTTTTCAGGCAGTTGAACTACATTCCTCATCTTTACCACACAAATTATTTGAATGTATTTTGGACACTGTTACTTTTAGCACCCAGGGAATAAAAAGCCTTCCCATACCTCAGTCTGCTGCACCAGTGCCTGGATAGGGGCATGAAGCAAAGTGTTCATCCCTGCTAGAAGAAAAGGAAACACTCAGTTTGTTGCCCCATTTTCCTATTATTTTATCCACTGAGCTGAAGATCCACGTGCTCATTTTACAAACACCACTCAGGAAGTAAGTACAATTACCAACAAATATATATTCCTGAAAAACATTTTCAGTACTCCCCTCAGCATGTGGCAGAGACAGTGCTTGAAGCAGCTCAGGGGACAAAGTCTTCCTCAGGGAGACTGTTGTAGACATGTTACAATTATTCCAAGGGGATCCATAGCTCTGAACATAGATAGTCAAATCTGTTACATCTACTTCCAAACTCACCTGTGATCTCACAGGGAACAGCTTCAGAGTCTTCATTTCTACAAAAGGTGAGTTAGGAACAGTTTGTTAAAAGATTTCAGAACAGAAGGGCTGCACCAATAAACTGAAAAGGCAGAGAATTCTGGTGCAGAGCTCACGTGGGCCTGGGCAGCAGAGACCAGAAACTACTTGCTTCTCTGCAGAGGATTCTAATTGGAGTTGCCTCCTTATTTTCCCAAGGAATTCTCTCATTTAAGCATGCCACAAGCTACTGTTCAGCACACAGGTGGCATTTTAATGCCTCAATGACAAGTAAAAAAAAGACAAAAGATTCATTCATCTTTAACTCAGACCTTTCACTTTTAGTTCTTTATCTTTGGGAAACCAAGGCTGTGTTCCTAAAGCCTGAAATCGTTTCTCTGGCAAACAAAAAGCCAGGTACAATCTCCACCTTGTGGGAGTTTCTGTCTAACTTTTAATAGTTTCTGCTGTTTTATTGGTTGCTCTTTCAAGACCAAGAAATCCTGACTTGGTTAGATAAACATAGATATGTGCATGTGTGCACACTCACATATCTATCTGTTACTATATTGTGTTGATGCCTTTAGTAGCAAGAATTAATTAACTACAGCTGTACAGAACTTGTTTACTTCCTATATATTTTACATGTAAGAAATTCCCCTTCACACATAGAAATTGTCTAAATTTGTTGTTTTGCTTACCAGGTCATTTTGATTTGTAAAATCCCATCACTGTGTTTTACCTAGACAAGAACTCTGAGACCAGACTAACTCTTTAACTCTGAGGGAAAAAGTTCTGATAATAAAAGAATGTAAACTGTGTCTATCAGACATGTGAACTGGCACAGCTTTTCTGGAAAACATTCCCAGGCAATCAGCTTTGGAAGAAAGCAGTTTTAAGACAGAGTTGTTCAATTTTTCAGGAAGCCACTGTCTTTCTCTACGTGACCAACACAGTTATATGCTTTTTTCACTGTATCCCTTGTTTCACCACAAACACTGAGCAATTTTAGATCTAAATAAATACATACATGGGGTCTCTTTGAGGAGCAACATTTGGAGGTTGCCTGCCATGTGAGAAGTGTTTGCAGGACAGAGCTCTATGGGAATTGGAATTTTTTTTTGCAGACTTACTGATCATGAAAGATATCGTCCCCTGTGTCTCCTGCACCCTCTAAAAAGAAGAGAATTCTGGCATTACAATGTGACAAGCAAGACCAAAACATTCAGAGACAAGAGGCAACTGCACAGAAAAGAATGTTCTGAAGTTCTCACTCTTGATGTGCCTTCTTATTGTGGCAAAACCCCAGAGAAGTGACTTCTTCATCCCAATACTTAAGGATGCATTAGCTTTTCAGAGTCTTCTTGGGTAATCCTTGACAAAGTGGATGTGACATCCTGCTCAGCCTTGTTCTGATCCAAATCCCCAAGGCACATTTTGTTCTAGGTGTATTTTGCCTAAAAAAATACTTTTTTTTTTGAGCAACAGGCCCACAGCACCAGTAACTAAAGGGTTTTCAGCCAGTCTGTGATAAACAGCTGACCATATTGTTCCTTAGCTGTGACTGACAAGCCTGACTTCTTAAATTCAGGCTATTTAGCCTGGTGAGTCCTGCCACAAGAAGAAAAAGGGAGTTTTACCTGTATTTTCTCTCTCTGATGTGTTATTCTTAAGATCTCGTGGGAAGACTCTGCAGCTAAGAACAAAAACAACACCAGGTTTTGAAAGCACAAGACCATCTGTTTCAAAGCAAGTTACAAAAAAAGGTAAAAAACCCCACACCAAAGCAAAAACCACAGCCCCAGTTTCAGTCTTTTCCACATGGTATGTTCTGAAATGAGATCTCAAAGCCAGAAGCACACTGAACCCAACCATATTTTCCAGCAAGAAGATGCAATTATCACACAGCAGGTAGAAATCACTAGAATGAGAAACAAATTATGGGAACCAAAATTTAATGGGAAACAAAAACTTCCTCATTATTCCTCATTCAGCTCACTGAACTGTTGGGGTTTGTTGTTTGGGTTTTTTTTCCAGCCAGGAAGAGAAAATGAATCATGGCTCCAAATCAACTCAGCATAACAAGTCATCAGCTTTTTGCATCCCTTTGTGACTCTTCAGGAAAGGGAGTTTTGGGGGTACCTGCAGCTCTGCCCCCTCCAGACCCCACTCACTTGATGGTGTCTGCAAAGCTGACCCGGCGGAGGTTTTTCCTGCGCTTCTCTGCGTGGATGTCCTGACAACAAAGAACACAACAGCTGGACACACACAGGCCTCTTCTTCCTCCACAAGCAGCAAACACAAAACCACCCTCAAAATCCAATCATTTACAAGCCCAACGAGTAAACCAGGTATTTACTAACATGTTTAAACTACTTTATACAGTTCCCCAGCTCCTCCTGCCAGACAGGCAGCATCTCCTGGGGAGCAGGATGAAGAGCTCCCTGTGAGAAGTGCCTGTTGCACACACAGGAAGCACAACACCAGCCCTGAGGACTCCTGTCTGGCATGCTGAGGAAAACAGATGCAGCTGCTTAGCAGGAGAGTTGCAGGATTCTTTTTTTTTCTCTTTATTTTTCTCTGACTGAAATGATAATACTACTAATGGTTTGTCTCTGTGGAAGAAAGGGGAGGATTCATGGAAGGATCCAAGCCCCCATTTTCTTACAGAAGTGCTCAAATGGTGCCACTGACTACATGATCACGCTAATGCAACAACACCACAGAGTGTGGAATGATGAACATGACACATGCTGGGAAGGCAATTCATCATCCCACTGCTGTGCAGTTGCCTGCAATGAGTTTCCCTAACTTCCTCAGCCAGGCTTGGAGCAGCCTGGGCTGGTGGGGGGTGTCCCTGCCCATGCAGGGGGGTTGGATCTGGATGATCTTTAAGGTCCCTTCCAACCCAAACCATTCCGTAACTCCAAGAACAGCTCAGGCTCAAGACAGGAACACTGGTTGTTTAACAAAACACAAAAGTAGTAACATACCTATCACATTGAAATCCCTAACAAAACCTGTAAAATCCCTTTTTTTTTTTTTTTAATTAAAAATACCATGTCAGCAGCACAAACAGCCATGAATGTTGTCACCCTCCTGTATGTGCCAGCCTTGCATCCCATCACTGGGAACAGACACTGCACTTTGAATGGAGAATTCACACTTGGCCCAGTTTTGAGATAGATTTTGTGCATAAATATTTTGGGCTCATGTTTCATATTTAAAAGAGATTATTAGAGACTTTCTCACTGAAAGCTTCAAAGGCTTAAAATGAGCCTTCAAGTTCTGCAGCCAGCAACAGATGAATCACATACATCTATGAGGTAACTCACACTTTAGACCCCAGAACACACCCTGGGGAAAAAAGGCATTTACAGAGAAATGCAAACTGACCAGGCCCAGAGTTACAATTTCTGAGAAACAACAGACACTACAAACATGAAATATATTATCTGTGTATTTCTGGAAGAAAATGAATCTTTTTTAGCTTTTCCTTTAGATAAGTTGGCAGGCTGGTTTTTTTACAGATGTAAAACCATCTTCCTGACTATCCTAGTTTGTTCACTGCTGCATCAAACTTCCAATCAAATGGAGTTCAGC